GCGGTGCTGGCGGAGCTCGGCGCTCTCCGGGTAACACCATCCGCTTCTCTCGCCTGCGAACAGAGCGCTGTGACGGGGAAACAGCCCCGTGTCTGATGAAACAGATACGGTGTTTTCCCTTAATAACTTCCTAAAAAGTTGGATGAGAAACTCTCTCGTCCTTCTGATACACGACCCGCACATTGTGGTCCACCTTTGTTAATTTCACTCCACGGGGCTGCTGCTCGTTCCGTGCTGTTCTGGGTGCCTGTGGTAGGCGTAAACGTGTAACTCAGAAGATGTGAGATCATTCTAATGCGTAACTTGCAATTCTTTTGAACTGTTACATATTTTAGAATTAATTACACTTTGTGTGTGCCACACGATAACTCCGTGCTGTAAGCATTCAGGATGGAGCAGGGTAAGTTGGAATATTGAGCGAGTCTCATGGATGCTTCCACAGCTACCTGATGGAGTATGATTAAAAGAAAAATCCTCTTTGACTGACAAGCAAGGGAGCTGCAGAGTTTGTTTTTATTGAAATGGAAGTAAAGCTGCTAGCTTAGTTGTGCTTGCACTCTGAAATAAATCATTCTGTTGCAAGAATGCTTTGAAATTTAATTATTTTGTACTCATCGTGGGACTGTTACAAGTTCTTTTTTTATTATTTTTTTATTAAGGAAACCACAAAGCTGTGATGTTGTGATGTCAAGTACTGTAAGGCTGTAAAGGATCTCTAGCAGGCAGCTACTGCACTACTCTGAAAAAAGGAGTAGTAAAATTTAGATTATTACTCATGTTTTCTCTCCTCCTCTTCTGCAAACCTTTAGGTCTCCAAAAGTGAGAATTCCACAGCTTCCTCAAGGGGCTTAGAGTTAGAAGTGTGTTCTCCTTTGAATCTCTAGCTACAAATTAAACTGCAGCAATTTTAATGGTTGTTTTATGTGTTTGAAGTTTGTCACTGTGTCCTCTTTTTTTGAGTCTGGAGTTGATGTCCTGTGAATTCATAAAGGACTTGTAGCAAATCTGGCAAATAATTCTCCCAAAATGACTGCAGTTACTGGAAATTTACTCTTATTGAAACATTTTTTTTAACTTTCATTCTATAAACTCATGAAGAGCAATCCCTGAGTACAAGAGCTCTGTAAAGGCAACTAGGAAAGAAAACCTTTGCTTGATACACTTATGTTTATGCTGCATGTTTCTTACATCTGTTGAAAAATTGTCGAGGGATTGAAATGGAAAATGGCTGGAAATGCTCTTGTGTTGTAAGAGTGAAGGAATTGGCACTATCTTTTCTAGTAAACAGAAAAATTCTAATAAAATACATGGTTTGTGAAGGAAAGCCATGGAATAACAGATTTAACACCCTGCCAAAATAAACTTTTAGGTGTCCATGTTATCCACATACACAGAACACGAGGACTTTTATTATCCTTTCTCTGTGAACTGGTGCAGTCTGGTTTATTCTCTAAGTTATGTATTGAGTCATAGGAGTTTCTTTCACCTTAAACATCTCAGTAGTGAAAATCTTCCCAGGAAACAAAACTCCTACTCCTTCCCTGTGACCTGATTTTTCTTCCACTATAATATACTGGTAAGGGACAGTAAATATATGGCACATAGGCTCTAATAATGGCAGAGGAGTGTTCCCATAATTACATTGTCCTGTTTATTTTTTTAAGACATTCTGCTGCTAAGAATAAGTTGATGAATAATCTGCGTGTCCTACCACTCTGGAAGATTTCTGAGAATAAGAATTTATATTTTGCAAATTATTTTAAAGGATAAAAACTGTAGCATTGGACTTGATATTGTTCAAACGTGAGGCTGAATGAGGTTTGGGCATATATCTGGAATGATTTAACAGCGGATCAAACAAAACTTCAATTTCTCCTTGCTGGAAAGTCAGATGAATTATAAGTTTCATTCATATTGATCTAAGAAGTATAATAAAAACTGTACAGCCAAAACAAGAGAGTAAGGTGAGGATTTTTATTTTTGGACACTGTGCTTTTCTGGTGCCTTTGCTCTGAGAAGTTAGACTGTCTGTACATTCCTGTGCTCCTTACTCTTTGGAAGCAGACAGAATGAAGCTGCTCAGAGCATTTCAAAGGAATTGAAAATGCACACAGTCCTCCAGATACCTGGAATATATTGTAATATTTTTCCTGCCTCTGGCTGATTTTCTTGTATAGGTAGCCAGAGGTGTCTGTCATAAAAAATCCTCCCAACAAAACCAAATTAGAAATTATCAAGAAACATTTGTTAACAATAATTCTTGTGCAGAGCTGAATGTATTATTGCTGGAATTTCACTCATATATATTAAGTGGAAGAAAAAGGCTTGAAAATCTTCATATACTGCATTCTGTGGTGCAGGAATTTTTACAGCATTTTGGTTGTTCAGTGACCAAATTTCCTCTGGATGTAATGTCACAGTATTAGGAACACCCTATACAAGTGTGTGATACAACCAACAGCAAAATTTGCTCTACTAACTACATCATTTGATATTCTCATCTGATCTTGTTGGAAGCTCCAGAACTGTGTTAGTCCTCCTGCTAACTATCACAGGCACTTTGTTTTGCTGTCCTCAGCTCTTTTTTTTTCTTTATATACAGCTTTTTACTGATCAGTTTCATTCCATTCCTAAATAATTTTGAACTAAGATTTTAGCTTCTTGTTAACATGGAACTGAGCTGTATCAAATCTGTTTGAGCTCCCAACAAGACTTGACACAACACATTCATTTCTAGTGTAGCTCCACCGAGTTGTCTCAAGTGAAGTTAACTGAAGTTGACCAAGTTGTGCCTTATTTCTCCTCAGTTAAAAAGGGATGTGCTTGTGTTGAGTCCTCCAGCACTGTGTTCTCTTAAAGCATATTGGTTTTGAGTAATCTGAGTCCTTCCCTTCTGGTGATATTTTAAGATGGAAAGACTTGCTTTGAGATTTGTTATTTTAAGGAAAGCTTTAAGAAAAGACCTTTTCAAAGTGGTCCATGGCAAAGCAATTCATAAGTACCAAGAACATTACTGTTAAAAAGAAAAGAATTTCCGTGGTGGGCCATCCCTTTTTCAGGTCGTACAAGCAAATCTTTGCATGTGACTGCTTCACAACCTAAGGATTGCCAGAAAGTTTCAGGGCTATTGTGCCAGTGAAAAAATTGGCAATGCCAGTGTGAGATGTTGTGCCACACTGGATGTTTTCTGGAGTATTTTGATATAGCTGAGGACACAGATGAATCCAGGAACAGCCCTTTGGCACAAGAGCGGCGTCTGTCGAAAGTGATGGCAGCTACTTGAGCCAAGCTTAAGGAGAATAAAGCAGCAGAGGATGGAGGTTTTTTGGTTTATGGCCCCCACGCCACCTTATTTTTCTTTTGGATAGTATTAATCTTGATAAACTACTTAATATAACTTTGGCTTCACTTAACAGTTACAAGTTCACAAGTATAATTAAAAACAATGGCAGGCTGTGACTGAACAGAGTGATATAGGCTAAGATTGACTTGTAGTTTTAATCAAAGCATCCTTTTTTTTTGCAAACACCAGGGAATTAAGCCCTTGCAATCTGTATTCAGTGTTGTTTCTGCTAATGGCTTTGTGTTTTATGTTTATCAGATACCTTGAGTTATCTATGCCTTGTTTTCTCATTTGCTAAGTGTGAGTAATGGAACTAAACTGCAAGTACTGCCTGTCACTTTATTTAAGACTATTCTTAAAATGTCTTTGCTTTCTGACAGAAGGTGCTATACACATGTAAGATGTTGCCACTTCTGGTTTTTGTCACTGTAGCATCCTGGTGATGTGGACTGTAATTATTAGCACTCAAGTTTCAACAGCTCAGGTAAAAAATTCAAAAGCTCTCAAAGAGTTGTGGATGCAGAATTTGATGAGTATTTGGTTTCTGACTTGCTTAGGCTTCTTCATAGAATTCCTAGTTTGATTTTTTGATAAATTGTTCAGCCTTAATTTTGAATATACATAAAAAGCACATAAGCTTGGCTTGACAGCAAATTCAGTTGAGCAAAACACTTTGGTCACAAACTGAGTGCTGATCTGTCAGTGTTCTCTGTGTTATCTGTGTCTTATTGTTTCTGTAGCTGAGGTTTGGAGGGGAGCTCTGCCCTACCTGAAAGCAGCAAAGAGATCTGTGGTCTGACTTGAACCTGTGCTTCTCTCTGGTGAAGGCTGCCAGTCATCTCAATTTAACCTCTCTGCAATGCTTTAGAGCCTGTCTAGAAAAGAAAGTCTGTCATTTCCTTACAGAATTCTGGTCAAGCCTGAATTCTGTTCAGACATTGAAGTTCAGTACTGTTCTCTGATGAGTCATTAATGCATTTCTCTGAGAATGTTGGTTAATTATGTGCTTAAAAATAAAATCAGATTAATGCCTGATGAAGCGGAGCACAAATGCTATTGCTGTGTGTTATACATATTTCTTGAAAATGTCTTTTCTTGCCCAAGCAGCTAAGCACATTGTCCCTCAAGGTTTTATAGTCAGGACAGTTTAAGGAATGAGTCTGATATTTCCACTCTTTTTAAAGACAGCACAGCCAGATTGCCCTGGCTATAACATAGCTTGACAGTTCCCTTACAACTTTTCTTTCAGAAGTTTGTCACATTAATGCTGACAGACAGATATTAGGCCAGGCAGCACAGGCTGTGGAGCAAACTGTATCTTTTCTTTTGGGAAAGAGTTATATCTCAGTTTAGTAACCTTGCCATGCTTAAATAATAATTAAAAAGATCACAGAAGTCAGTCTATGGGCTCCAGCACAGGCTTAAGCAGCATCTCTGAGTATGCTTGAAATGTCATGATGAGATTTATTTGGAGAAAGATTTTAAATTGTGTGTGTTTGCCACTGGCTGCAATTCTGGATGCCTCACAAGGCACAGTGACTCCATTATCTGTGTAAAATAAATTATTCTGTGGAGTCTCGTGCCTCCCACAATATGTGCAGAGAGCTATTTAAATCTTATTTGGTTGTCATATATCCGAGGGGTTTTTGGTCTTAGGATTAGTTGTAAAATCTACTTACTAAAGGGATTTATATCCAAATTGGTAAAGAATGTATTTCTAGTGCTTTTAAGTAACTGCTATGCTTGTTAATAAGCAAGGCAATATAGCTGTCATATTTTATTAGACCATGAGTAAAACTCTTAGACTGAGTTGGAGGCATGAGTTTATAGCTCATTACATGTGTTTGTTTATTCAGCCACCACATACTCCATTAAATCAAATTTAAAACATTGAATTCAGCCTTCAGACCTCTGGCTTTGTGGATTACCCTCACCCCAACATAAATATCCTTTTAGCAAAGTATTTTTCAGAAGGAGGAGGAAGCTCAGCAGAGAATGTTTTCCATACAGATAACAGACATCTCTTTGACCAATTCCTCTTTGTCAGACATGCCTCTCATTTATAACCAGTGTGGCTGCTGACAGCTGGAGGTGACTCTACCAGGCAATGGAAAAAGGTCTCATTTAAGCTGTAAACTGGGGATACTGGGAGGCTTACTCTTCTGGTGATGATAGTTTGGAAAACACTTCCAATTTCTGTGGAAACAAAGTGTCTCTCCCACATGAAACAGGTAAGAATTGTTGTTTTTTCCACTCTGAAAAGAGTCACTTAAAGTCACAGGGCAGAGTCAGCTGATGGGGTAAAGGCAGAAGAATGTCAAATACTGTTTGATTTACTAGGTCACCTTCCAGAGTTTCACAGTTGGAAGTTCTCCGTTAAAAATTCAACTTGTGACCGCGATGGTGTGCAGAGAGCAAGAAGCGATTTTATTAACTGAATGGTTCCTGTATTCTTTGTTAGTAATTACAACTTCAGAAATGTCTTGTTCATCTTAAAAGAAATTGTAAATGGTTCATAGAATAATTTTGATTGGAAGAAATCTAGGAAATCATCCAGTCAAATCTCTTCTTCAAGGCAGGCCTAATTTCCAAGTTAGCCAGGCTGCTGAAGGTCCTGTCCAGACCATTTATGAACTCTCCATGGGTGGAGAGATGAAACACAGCCTGGATGGATGAGGGGAGAGCCGTGGATATTGTCCACCTCAACTTCAGCAAGGCTTTCCTCACTGTCTCTCACAACATCCTCGCAGGCAAACTCAGCAAGTGTGGAGAGGGTGAGTGGACAGTGGGGTGGATGTGGAGCTGGCTGAATGGCAGAGCTCAGAGGGCTGTTACCTGTGGATCAGGAGAGTGGTGTCCCCTAAGGGTTGGTACTGAGCCCAGTGTTGTTTAGTTACCCATCCATGACTTGGATGAAGGGGCAGATGTGTCCTCAGCAAGTTCACTGGTGGCACCAGGCTGGGAGGAGAGGCTGATACCCCAGAGGGCTCTGCAGACTTCAGAAGGACCTCGGCAGGATGGAGAGATGGGCAGAGAAGAACTGCCTGGAGTTCAGCAAGGGCAAATTCAGGGTCCTGCACCTGTGTTGGAATAACCCCAGGCACCTGTGCAGGCTGGGGAACAACCTGCTGGAGAGCAGCTCTGTGGAGATGGACTTGGGAGTCTGGTTGGACAGCAAGCTGTCCCTGAGACAGCAGTTTGTCCTTGTGGCCAAGAAGATGAATGGTATCCAGGGATGCATTAGGAAAACTGTTGCCAGCAGGTCAAGGTCCATGATCCTGCCCCTCTGCTCAGCCCTGGTGAGGCACATCTGGGGAGCTGTGTCCAGTTCTGGGCTCCTCAGTACAAGAGAGACATGGAGCTGCTGGAGCAGGTCCAGTGGAGGGTGCAAAGGTGATCAAGGGACTGGAGCTCTTCCTTCTGAGGAAAGGCTGAGGGAGCTGGGCCTGTTCTGCCTTGAGAGTGAACCTCATCCATGTCAGTATCTGAAGGAAGGGTGTGAAGAGGACAGGCTCTTCTGGAGTGGTGCCAAGCAACAGGACAAGAGGCAATGGGCAGAAGCTGATGCATAGGAAGTTGAAGGAGAAATTCGGTACTTGCAGCTGAGCACTGGGACAGATTGCCCAGAGAAGCTGTGGAGTGTCCCTCACTGGAGATATTCCAGAGCCATGTGCACGCAATCCTGTGCCGTATGCTCTGGGATGACCTTGCTTGAGCAGGAGGTTGGACCAGGAAACCTACTGTGGTCCCTTCCAAACTGATCCACTCTGTGATTCTGCAAGTTTGAGAACTTGTTCCAATACCTTATTCATTGCACTGTGAACATTGTTTTCTTACACGTGGCTGGAATTTCTGTGGTGCAGCTTCTGACTTTTACGTTGTCCTTATGGTGCATTCTCCTGAAAAAAGTTTTGTGCTAACTTCTGTGGAACCCACCCCAGGAAACTGAATGCAAGATCATGGAGAAAATCCTCCTAGATGCCATGCTAAGGAAAAGAAAGAAATGGTTGGTGACAGGTAACACATCCTCACTAAGGGCAAATCACACTGAGAAATTTGACCTTTTACAACAGGGTTACTGTGTTGATGGATGAGGGAGGAGGAGTCATCTGCCTGGACTTGTGCAAAGCATTTGACACTGTCCTGAGTGACATCCTTGCCTCTAAACTGGAGAGACATGGATTGGACAGATGGATAACTCAGTGGAATAGGAATCAGCTGGACAGTTACACTCTCAGGGTTGTGGTCAGCAGCTCGATTGTTGAGACCAGTGACAAGTGGTGCTTCTTGGGGGTGGGAATTGGAACCACCAGAATTGTCAAACCTCTCTGGTGACATAAAAAGTGGGACCAAGGTCACCCTTGGTGGGTTTAAGGACACCAGGCCATGGGGTGCGGTCAACACCTGGGAGGGAAGGGATGCCATCCAGAGGGACCTTGACAGCTGGAGAGGTGTGTCACAATACAACACAAAATGAACGACACTCGCACGCTGAGATGTCCAAGGCAAAAAAAAGGCCATTTCTGGACCTCCATATTTACAGAATTCTGAAAGTGACCATGGATTGGAGGATGAAATTGCCACTTCTCCAGCCACACTGGTCATACTAACAGTTCATCAATTCTCTCCTCCTCCAGAAGGGAATGCAAAACAATCATTATTTACATGAAAGTGTGTGAGAAACTCCATTACAAAAATGTAAACATCAGAAGACTTAGAAGAACAGGGTGGCAGAGGTGGGCCTGTGTGAGCCTTGTGACATTCAACAAGGCTAAGGACCAGATCCTGCTCCTGGGTCAGGTGCAACCCAAGCACAAACACAGCCCAGGTGGAGAATGGATGGAGAGCAGCCCCGAGCAGGACTGGGGGGGTGTTAGTTGGTGAGAAGCTCAGCATGACCTGACAATGTGTGCTCACAGCCCAGAAAGCCAGACGTGTCCTGGGCTGCATCAAAGGAGGTGTGACCAGCAGGTCAAGGGAGGGGATTCTCCCCCTCCACTCTGCTCTCCTGACATCCCACCTGGAGTGCTGTGCCCAGCTCTGGAATCCCTAGCATAATAAGAACATGGCTGTTGGAGTGTGTCCAGAGTAGTTCCACGAAGATGGTAAATGATTTGGAGCAACCTGAGAAGGCTGAAAGAATTGGAATTGTTCAGCCTGGAGAAGAGAAGGCTCCAGGGAGACCATCCAGCACCCTCCAGTACTGGAATGGGGCCTACAAGAGAGCTGGAGAGGGACTTCTTACAAGGAACTGAACAAGAGGGAATGGCTTTGAACAGAGGGTAGGTTTAAATTCAGAGAGCCGTCAGTGCACTTTGTGAAGGAAGGACAAAAGTCTTTACGTTTTTCTCAGCTTCCCATTGAAAAGGTATTGCTATAAAGCAAGGATTTATTTTAGGATTGTCATTGTGGAAAGTTACATTAAAATCACAAAACATTGACAATGGAAGTAGGTTTTCTCAGCAAGATACTGCAGGAGTGCTGAACTTGTGGCTCCAGTTTTGATAATGTGAGCACATGAAGCAGAACAGAGGGGAGATGAAGAGGTAGTGCCATCACTGAGTTCTCCCATTGTGCATGGCTCACCAATGTAACAGGTCATGAAAAATCTGAGTTGGTCTTGCGTCCTTTTGTATTTCTATGCTTTTGCAGGTCATGTCATATTCTAGTTGTCAAATATAGGTTGGGTTTTTTAAAATACATCCAGAAGTCTAAGCACATTGCTGGAGAAACCAAAGCTTAAAGAATTAAGGAAACTGACAGTAAAATGGAAATAATTAGCAACTTATAGCCCTTGCAATTATCTCATACCAGATAGTGTGCAAGTGCCAGGCATTGTTGATACAAGCACCATTTTTTTAATAGAATGACATTTGATTTTTTAAATGCATTTAAATGCCAACCATCTTCACGCTGTGTGTGAGTCACGGTTTCAAGTGTGTAATTGTTTAGTCAATCTTCTGTTGCATTATTATTTTATCACGCTATGAGTTTGGGCTAAATAGTTCACATTGTATCAGCATCTAACTAGAAACTTCTTCATACATTCACAGAATGGGCATTTATAAGCAAACATAATGAAGGCTCCCCTGAAATCAATTTGATTGCATGTGCTTCAGAGTTGTTCTTCCCTCAGTATTATATAAACACTATTAGCAGATCCTTTAGAAAATTGATTTGCTGATCATCCAAGTGACAGGCCTGTTTGGAGCTATGCTGAAATGTATATTTATCCTTAATCATGCTCCTGTAATTAAACTAAGGAGTTTTATGAGAACATGGCTGAACAGATGAGGATGTTTTTGGGTGTTGTTCTTTTAATCTCAGTTTTAGATCACTTTTACATGTTGTTGTGTCCCTTCCCCTTGCCTCTTTTCTGCAACCACAGCTCCAGTGCTGCTTTATTGCTTGCCCTTGCTTCAGCCCTGCGAACACAGCTGTGTGGCTGAAAGCCATTTCACACACGTCTGTGTGTGCGTCTTGGCCTTGGAGTTATTTCCTCCAAGTTCTGCCTGGCCTCTTTTTGGCCAAGAAAGAAAACTTGGGAAGGTCTTTAATGTGGTCATCCCTGCCTGGTGCTGCCTGCATTTAGAAGAGCCCCCGTTCCATTGTCCTGCCTCTTCCTGGTCCAGCTGGGCTCCTGCTGTGCCCCTGAAAGTCGGGAAGCACAGATCCAGCAGAATTCCTGCCTCCCACGGGCTTCTTTCTGAGACAGCTTTAGTAGAACCCCACTGCTGAGTGGGTAACAGGGAATAAAAATGACGTGGGAAGGGGGAAAATGGAACTGTGGGAGGGAGGACTTCAGGGAGAAAGATGTGAAGGAAAGAGGAAATGAGAGGAAGAAAATCCTTGTATGAGCAAGGGGACTAACAATAGGGAAGATTTCTGTGTTTTCGTTCTCATTTGGGAGGCAATTATTTGGGCAGAAGAGGCTGACTGAAGCCAGAAGGTGTGGTTAATTCAGGTGGTGGATGTTTTTGGAAAGCCCATGTTATGAGTCTTCTGTGTGGGTATGGTGTAATGTGTGACATGCTTGAACAGATTTTTTAGTGACAGAACCCAGATTCCTTTATGTGACTCCTGGGTTTTGGTGAATGTGCATAAATTGCTGCTCTCAGGAATGGAGAACATGGGAGAGGGGGGAAAAGTATCAGCAGCAATGAAAGGAAAACTAAGGAGTGTGTGGGGAAAAGGAAGGTAATGCTTCTCCCAAGCATGTATCAGCATAACAGAACTTTAAAATATCAAAATAATAACTTGTAGCAATGTGTAGGAGTCTTTGGAAGCTCAAGAAAAGAACAAATTGTGTTGTGGTGATAATATTGGATACTTGCTTAGAGACAGCACCAGCCAGCTGGCCAGTCTCTCACCCCTGACTTTTATCTACTGATACTGGAAAGAATCTTTTTTGATCTCATTCTCTTACAGTCTTCTTTGGGGCAAATATTTTTTTCTAGTTGTACCTATTTTGGTACATTTTCCCATCTGTTTACTACCCTGTCCCTGAATTTATTCTGCAGAAACAGTCTGTTTATTCCTAGCTTTGGATTATCAGCTTCGAGCTGTTAAGTAATAGAAAAAAGTGCTTCAGTTCACTTTAAGAATAATTTATGAAGATGGAGCTTTGTGGCTGTAGTGCATCTCTGTGTTTCTCCTTGCATATACTATAATTCTGGTGAGAATTAAAAGATAACTAGAAACATTGCATGGGAGCACACTGAATTTAAGGTGAGATAGATTAGAGATTGTCTGTAATTTTGAGGAAAACCAAGGGCAGAAGAATAAACCCTCTCACCTCCATAGGTAGGCAGTTATCTTGCTTCCATACAGAATAAACCAGCTATTGGTCCACTGTAACCAGGCCACCTTTCCTGCTCCCTTGTGCACCTGGCCAGCCTCTTGTACAGGCGTTTCACCAACCCATGTCTAGCCTGTCCCCAGTTTGGTGTGAAAAAAACTGGATAATGAGGAATTTGGCCTCTGCAAGTAGCAGATGTACAAATCTGTAGTGATGTATCTGTGATATAGGGGCTGTGAGAAAGACATCAGAGTTGTTTAATTTCTTACTGTGTTATTTTAGTTGATATGGGGTTTAGTGTAAAGAGAAGCAAGGGCAAAACAGTGCTATCTCTGGTGCTGAAAGCAGAGTTCTGCAGCCTCTCCTGGACATGGACAGAAAATCACATTGCTTTCATCTCCCCCTGTTTGCTTGGGGGACCTGCAAA